GTTGTTATGACGATTTTGCTGTATTGGATAAATCATGGCCTTTGTGCCTGCTGCCTGCCCTGCTGGCTTTGTTCCTCTAAAGCCTGTAAGCAGATGTACATGAAATGAAATCCCTCCGGTCTCGCTAACCTTGTTCATGAGGCTTATCAAACCACAGGTAATGCGATAAAGATGTAGGTTGCTGGACTGCCATGACACTGAAAATCATATTCCTTTTGTAAGCGACTTCAGCGCCTCAGATGGAAATCATAGCCGAGTCGTGAAGGCTTTCTGAATTGTGTTCATTTTTTTAATATCTCTAAATCATTGTGGGGTCCACATATAGTCCTTTAATCCATCAACACACCCATTAATAGAAAGTCTCTTACTGGTAAACTGGTAAAGATCACAGCATGTTGGAATCTACCCTGGACACCAGGCCATCTCAGGGCCACAGGGAAAGGGACAATTTAAAGCAGCCAGCCAAACCCAGATTTAACCAATAGTTTGTTTTCTTCAAGAAGGCAACATTAGACATATCCCTGTCCTCAAAAGTGCCTATTGTCTGGAATTTCCAGTCCAGAAATCCAGAAGTAAAATTAAGTGAAATTGTTCATCTGTAATGTTAAATGGATACAACGCCTTTTGCTACACAGTGAACATTGACTGACAACAAGTTCATTAGCATAGTAAAACTGTATTAAAAGTCATCAATCATGTTGACTTTCAATACGAGAAGCTTACAGTGGATTTTCGGTAATTATCTTAATCGGGCAAATTGAGAATCACGTATGCAACGCAGAAATATGAATACTGTAAATCTTTATTTTTCTTTAACTTCATCTTTATTTTGTGTGGTGTAATTTGATTACACCCTGTTTATCATGAACAGGTACCATGACCTTATTTCTGTTCCTTGTGTGCAGCATTGTAAATGTCCCAGTACTTCAACCCTGCCACGCAAGAACGTGACTTCAGAGTGCTGAACTGCACTGTATTCAAAACCGAAAGAGGTGTATTGTCAGTTAGAACTCTGCTGCCCTCTACTGGGCAATCACCTTTACAGCATCAGGGATATCATTTCCCACATAAAGCACAGTGTATGCAGTACATACAGTACTGTATACGGAACACGTGCAGTTCAGGGTTGAGGGGGAGTTGGAGCCTATCCTGGCAAGCAACGGGCGCAAGGCAGGGTACACCTTGGATGAGACGCCAGTCAATCGAAGGGCACACAACACTCACACCAGGGCCAGTCTTCCCCGAAGCCAATTAACCTACCATTTTGTTTTTGGACTGGAACCGGAGGACGCAGAGAAAACCCAAGCGAACACAGGGAAAACTTGCGAACTCCAGTTTCCCGGGTCCAGAACTGAACCGAGGGCTCCGTGTATATACTGTACCACACACGCCTTAACTCGAATGCAGTGTGTTAGCAGCTCTCATCCTTTAAAACATTTTCGGATTCATAATGCTTTCGTTTTACTCGACCAAGAATTTCCAATCAGGATTGATTATTTCTAGAAGAATTATAATTCCATGTAAATACTGTACTGAAGCTTTCAGACCACAGTGCGGCTCTAAAACACTGCTATTATTACTAACATGACCAAACAAAAGCGTGGTTGCACGAGCAGAATAACTGGGTATAAACGTCTGTCGTGAAATTGCCAAACATTATCTGCAACATGTGGACAGCAGGGGGCATTTCAATGCATCTGTAACCGATTAGGAATTTGGAATGCTTTTTCAATAAACAAAAAAATAACTAACAACTTCTTCAGCCAAATATATCTGAACAGTTCTTCGATTCTTTGAAAAAAAGTCAGCGAAGTTGCAGGTTATTTAGCATCTAAGTAATAAATAAAATACATATAAGATTAAATAACCTACTACATAGGACAAAAAAACACTTTAACAAGGCCGATTTATGTTAAAAGGTTTAACTAAATACGTAAAACATAATTCAGCAGTTGACGGGTGAGCGGTACTTGTCTTGGATAAACGTTCAGAAGTTAAGGCATTTTTTTCCGCTTCGATAGTTGTGTAAAATAAGGTTTTGGAATAGCAGTTTTGGAATAGCAGTTTTACGGCAGGGTTAGGTATGATACTGCTTCAAAACGTGTCTTAAGTCACATCAGGTCTCTGCAGACTCCGTGGGTTCTGAGATTAGTCCCCAGAAAGAGACAAAGAAGCACTGTACCTACAGTTCAGTGACCTGGGACTGTTGCACAAGGAGGCTTGTTTTGTGTAAATTCACTACCACGCAGCACTGCTCATGCTTTTCATTATAGTCATTGGATTTTAAAGTACGCTGGACTGTTTTTGATTAACTGCTTACTATATAAAATTCATTTTCATCTGTAATTGGATTCCCCATTCTTGACAATGAAATGTACTTTAAAAAAAACTAATTTTCTATTTCCAGCAAAACCTAGAAAAAATTTCAGTCTGATTTTAAGGAATAACTGTCCAGTACAGGTTTCAGCTATGATCTCTGGTTCCACCTCCCAATACTTTCTCACATAAATTAAAGTAGCAAACCACTCTGACATTTCAAAATCGATTTTGAAGTAATCATTGTGGACAGTGGACATTTGTAGAGAATATTCAGATTCACTCAATGAGTCAGGGTCCGACCTTTGCACACTTTCAAGCACTTTATTATCCAATTCCCATTACTGCTCCAGGAAACAGGATTTAACAATTTAGCCTAATCTCCTCGATGTCAGGATCCACTCTGGCTCTTTGGCAATACAGCTTTCAAACACCCATTCAGCATTCAACACCCATGCACTTCTGTGACTGTAATTATCTGTTCACCTCTTCATCTGAAAGATTTAAATACTGGGTAAAAAAAAAAGATTTAACCAAGAGTTATTACTACAAGCAATAAAGGTGCTGGGCAGAAGAGTCTGTAGGAGAGGATATTTGGCAGGTTCCTTTCCTCCCAGAAGATACCCCCCACCTTTAATTGGGGTCTGCTGGAATTTCATTGGTGCAGAAAGAAGTTACCAGGTCATAGTGTTTCACTTTCACACTGTGTTAACCAGTGCTCCAGATCCAATTTAAACTTGTCCATTACTGCACTACAGAAAGCTTACCTCATTCAGCTTTGAGAGATGGGTCATGGTTACAACAGTCTGGTAATTTTCTGCCAGACAGGTGTTGTCCTGTCTGTTCCTAGTCATCTGTGCTGACTCTTCAGAGGAAGAGGTGTGACCTGTCAAGACACGCTCTGTACAGCTAGTACACAACGAAATGGCGAAAATGTAATTTATTACTTTGAGGTGACAGGACATGCTGCCTCAGGCTCAGGCCTTCTGCGTTTATAAGAAAACATATAGGAACAATATGTAAGATCTCACGAAAAGTTATGAATTAATGTCCAAGGGCCTTTGTTTGAGCGTGAAGTGTTAAAATCACCCTTGACCTCTGTCAGGCCTGCGGGTTTTACTTGACATTAAATACAGGTTTTACTTCTGATGGTTCCCCTGTTTACCTCAAACACTTGGCCCAGTTCTCACCTGCAGGTTCTCAGAGTATGGAACAAGCTACCCAGCCACCTTTGTGAGACCGATATCCTCATTTCTTTCAAGAAAGGGGTGGATGAGATCTTTGGATCAATTAACTACTATCAAACAGGCTAGATGTTCCAAATAGCCTCCTCTTGTTTCTAACCTTATGTTCACAGCACTAAGGAGCATTATTACACTCACTCTGCTCATGAAGTGAACCAGTGACATAGTATCCAGGCAGTGCAAGCAGTTCATCAGATAAACACAAAAGACCTCCAGGATGAAAGGAACCCCCCCAGTTCCTTCAGTATTTTTCTCCACAGCAGCAGTCTGAAGCTGGGGAGAAAAACTGCCACTTCTTGCAAACCAAATAAATGCTGTATTCAGTGGAGGATAATAAATCTTGCTTCCAGCCTTGTAGAAGCCCAACCCCATAAATGCCACAGGAAAAACCAAACTACCAAAAACTAAAAGAAAACACCAGTCTTTTACAATGCTTCAAATCAATCCGCTTTTCCAGTTCCAAAGGAAGCAGAAAAAAAGCAAAAGTTCACAGTCAGGAAACAGACCTTCAGGGATTTGTTTTAATATATACTGCCAAAGATTTTCGAAAGGTCACTAAGGTGAAGTGCTGAATCTTATGGTTCTAATCAAGTTGGTAATAATATAAATGTTCTCATGGACATTTGCATTTATTAATGAAGCTGAACTCATGCCCTGGCTACAAACAGAATTGAAAATGGGATGGATTTCAATTACATCATATAATAGGCATTTAAAACAAATACAGAAACTGTCTCTGATTAAGAAGCCACCTGCAAATTCAAGGACATACAAGGACTGGTATAACTACAGTCTCTACACAAACCTTTTCCCCTTTGCGTTGATGAAACAGATGTGCTTCAAAGCTTTTAAACACAATTGGAGGTACATCTCCAGGACTGATTATGGGATCCATTTTGGTATTGCACAAGAGCATGAAATACCTGTTGCTTTTGCGGGATGGATATTTAAGCAATCATATGTTGTTCAATCCCATAAATATTTCAAGGAAATAAACAGTGTTTATTGATATTTAGTTCCAAGCTGGGGGCTTTTAAGGGTTGCAGCACATTGGAGCCTGGACATTGCATTGCTGTCCAGCATTTCTCTGGAAGGTATGAGGGAACTGAAACAACCAGCAACCAGAGGTAGCATTGAAAATCCATCCAGAAGGCACTTCAGTCCAGAAAGCAAGAGCTGGAAAGCCAGCATCGCTAACTGCTACACCACCATGCCAACCCATTCTTGAAATTCCTGAGATAATTCTGTAATCATATTGTATCACACAGATAGAATCAGGTGCATTCTACAGTAACACCTGGTCTCTAAGATTGATAAATAAAGAGCAATTACTGTAATCATATATTCCGAGACAAGAAAAAAAACATTAATGCGAAATAACATCCCCATTTGTATGCAGGACACTAACATACACTATAAAGAATGAGAAAATCACAAAAGCGATATGTAAAAACATTTATTGTTGCGCATGTTTTACACAGTATAGTGCCACTGAGCTATGCAGTAAATAACAGTACATAATATTTCCTCTTCTTGAGTTCAAACCTGCAGTATTTAAGTACATTATTTGTTATTTCAGCAGTTTGTAACTTAAGACACACATCTAGTATTTTACATGAGAATAACATTGCTGTGGGAAGGTACTTAAGTTTAAAAGGAACATCTACAGTACACACCAAAAGGTCACAGAATATTCACAGAGCAGGAGAGTTTTGCACAGATTTAATAATTTCCTTCTTTTCGTTAAAATAATGCTTTCAATAACATTTTTATCCTACTATTACTGCACATATTCTGTATAAGTTCTTGTATTACTTGGCTAAATGCTTCAGAAAATAAGTTTATTCTTTTCAAGGCCACTGTGCAATTATAAACCAGAATTCAATTTTTAAAGAACTGGAGGTGGTTTAAATGAGTGTCACAAATGCAGATCATTACATATCAGAGCTATCTTTCCACACATATTATACAAACATCACATGGAAAAGTACCAACGGAGAATTGGCCAAGCCTTCACATTTAAAGCATGCAAATATTCCCCTGCATAAATCCAGTCAATTTATAGCTAACAGCATGCTGCTATTCTTATGAACTCTACAATATTTCACTGTTGGAATTCTATATAATGGGTTACTCAGAGTGGAAAATTATATTGATACACATTTACTATTGGACTTGGACATATCCCCATGTATCTTCAAATGGCTTTTAATAAAATGGATTGAGGTTAAAAAAAAATTCCTTTTTTGTTTTTAATCTATAACTCAGCAATCTGAAATGCATCAAATAAAGCAATGCAAATTGAATATCATCAATAGCTGTCTTTGGCATATTATCTGAAAAAGTATGACTTTTAAGAGTTTATTAGAAAACGTACGGTAAAAGATTAAGAATCAAGTTTCATACTAAAAGGGTGTTGAAACAGAGGGGGTTTTGAAGTCCATCAGTATGCTGTTTTGCAAGTTCCCTTTTCTCACAGAAGAAGAAAAAACTCAGAGTAAAATAAAAACATTTACCACATAGATGGTGTATCTAAAACATTTTTGGTAAAGAAACCCAATGCTTTCACTCTATGCAATGGTGCTCAGGAGGATATTACATGTGATGTATTACCTACCACTACCAATAAACTTGAAACTGGAGTAAGAGAATGAAACCACATACATATACCATGCTTAAGCTAACAGATGATCAGTATGCTTCATCCCTGTGCTGCTGACACACGAGTTTACAAAGTGTTATGCTTGCAAGGTCCTATTCAGCTCCCTTTTTATCATCAGCTCCATGCTTCAGAGAGTTGAAAGAAGTCATGGACTGTCAACTGCCCTGATGAAGTGTTTGTGTGTGTGTGTGGGGGGGGGGTGTTAAACATACAGCGTGGCTCCATGCAAACCCTCCTTTTCCTGTGACTCCAAACAGTAAACAGCCTCCAGTCTGTGCCCATTCTTACTGCTGATAATGACAAATTTCAAAGTCATAATAAGCAAATCAATACAACACTACCTTAAGGTCTTTAAAAGTCTAGCTGCATACCAAAAGCCTTGCACATGAATACAGGTAGAACCTTTAAGTATCATACACTTAAAAAAAGGGAGTGTCCACTTAAAATATGGAATGATGCACCTTAATTACATTATATAAAAACAAATACAGAAAAAAATCCCTATGCAATGTAACATACAAAATAAGTTTTAACAATAACAAGGTAATGGTTAAGAACACCCCAAGGAGTCTGACCAGTCTAAACCGTCACCTGGTGCTTCTCCTCAAGCAAGGATTTTAGAATATTTCTACAATGTTTTCAATACCTAGAAAAAAAGTTGTGCAAAATTCCAAATCACTACTCATTATAATTCCTAGCATTTTATTTTATAAGCACAGTTTAAAAAGGTGGGTGCTATTCGAGATGTGTTATGAAAGAAAAAAAATACTTAAACAATTTACTAGACTAAAAATAACTGCTGTATTATAGGAGAGGGCTATTCCAGTCATTTCCCTTCAACCCAGACAGGTGTTCTCTGAGGATGCCTTGCCCCGAACGTTTGGCACAAGACTTTGCAGTAGAGCTGTAATAATTCCACAAGATGCAATGTGGCATTTGGCAGGCGAACAATCCACGTTTAGACATCTCCCTCCACTCGCCTTCTGCGAACTAAACAAAAGAGCTAGAGGTTACCACATAAGAAACTTGAATGCTTTAGCATTTAAGATAAATAAGCTCCTCTTACAAACATTTACTCAGTGTATGCTTCAATGATCCATATTAACTTTTTTTCTGAGTCAAGTACAAAACATGAAAGTCTTCAAAAAGCTGTCACTTTTTTAAAAACCTCTGTTAATAAGTGGGTTAATGACTAGATTTGACACTGAAATTAATCTATCCAAGACTAGTCTGAATGCCAAGTAGCACTAGTCTATTGCTTTAGGATCACCTAACATATGTCGTGGTCTGAAACTAATAGGATACTGTTTTTAAACCCGCTCTTACGAAACAGTGATTTTGCATGAACTGAGAAGTTTGAAACATTCTGAGGTTTGAAGTCAGGCTGCACACAACTTCCCATCTAAAATACTATAAGAAATGGCTAATATCTGAAAGGTTGCAGTTATAGCATATAAATAAGAACAAGAACTACTGTCACACTGCACGCAGTATTGTAGAACTACTTCAAGAACAAGAGTAACATGCTGGTTTATCAATGGGTTAGAAGAGTTCTCTACAGACTCTAGCCACTGTGCATTCCTGTGAACACATCGCATGCTGTTAGACAGCACACTCAAAAAGCAAACCTGTTGCTTATTAGACATGTAAGAAACATACTCAGAGAATTGAAAAGGAACTTAGACCTTACAGATAAAAAACTGTCAATTTTGGCAGCTTTACACACAACCCTGGATGGCAGGCTTAAGGCCAGGTGTGGGTTGTGCAGACTCACAGCTGGACAGGTGGGAGGGAGTCTGTACAATGACATAGCCTCTCACTCCAGAGACCTTTAGGGGTGAAAGGCTGAACAGCTTGGTTGAAGGAAACAAAGAAATATTTCAAAACACAAAAACATGAATGGAAAAAAGAAAAGAATAAAAGACCAAAAGCACAAGGAATAGAGAACAAAAAAGCACAAGAGTACAGCAATATTTCATCATTTACATAACAAAAATTAAATTCTAATTCAACAGAACCTTCATTATTAAATGATGCACATCTAAGAATAAGGACACATGTAAAGATGGTCAGATGATTACTAAGTAAAAGAATGTCTGTACCAAAGAAAATCACAGATCACTCTGTTTCAATTCACATTTCACATATTTTGAAACAATCTGTTTTTCTGTCTGTGAAGAGATCATTGATTGCCTTGTCTCTGACCTTTTGACCCAAAGTGTTTATTTAACAAACACATAAACAGACTCACACCTAATACAAGAGATGCCTTCTAGATCTAAGAAGATTTCTGTAGTATAGAAGTCTTTTATTTATTCTTTAGGATGATAAAACTATGTTAAGTATGCACAACTTTTAAAGTTATCCTTTTCATATAAAAATACTTTTTAAAACTGATTAGAACAAGACACTGCACAGCCAGCTGTAAAGCATGTTCTCACCTAGGTCATTGTTCTTTGTGATTGCTGCTGCAGCTCTGGCCCTAGGCCCCTGCTGTGTGAAGTGGTATCCAAACTTCAGGATACTCGTGTTGTCTTCCAGCATCTTGGCTATTTCCATTTCCACTGTGGCACCCAGCTGCTGCCTCTGTTTTATCAATTGACAGAGAAAGAAAGAGATCATTCATCTCTGCTGCAGTTTTGAGGTGGAAGCCAACTCCGGAACTTTGAAAACGATTTTTACTGAACATGTGAAACAAAAAAAACTTAGAAACGGAGTTCAGAAGTTTAAGTTCAAATTTAGTAGATTTGTCTCAGGTCAATGATAAAGACAGTTGTTTGCACTCTACAACTAACGTTAGTTGACGCACTATAACTTAACTCCCAATTGAAAAGACGAATGTAAGAGGAAGAACCACTGACATAAATATTAATTACATTTAATACATGAGGGAGTTTCAGATACAGCATGAAAATACAAATGTGGACTGTATAATAGAAAGGCATGAAAAACAAGCAATTAAACAAAACAGAACTCATTTCATTTTTAGTGGACACAATTCACATGAAAAATACATTTGAAAAAAGATGTTTAAATTGCTTTAATTCCACCCTTGATAGACACCACTATCAAAGAGTCCAGATGAACTGCTGTAGTTTTAAGATCTGTAACTAGGGGCTTAAATTTGTTCTTATCTAAAGATTGAGAGCTGTGCATACACTGGCTTTATTCTTACCTGATTATCAATCTTTATTTCTGTCAATGTGTCATTGTCCCTTAAGGCACCTACTAGAGCCTGAATTCCAGTCCCAGTGATGAAATTGGATTCCAGGTTCAGAGCTTTCAGCATCTTGTTTTCTCTTAACATATCTGCAAATGCCTTGGAGAGGTTGTAAAAAGAGATTAAGTACAGCCACACATGAGAAGTGGCTAGTCAGTACAATGTGCTCATTTGTTTCCATTTCTCTATATAAACAGTACTGTTGCATTGGGAACAATCTCCCCAAGTATGAAATTCCTTTCATTTTCTTTAAAAATTAAAACACAAAGCATTGTTTTAAAAACATTTGTAACAAGATCTGAAACAATTATGTTTGTTTAAACAGGGAATAAACACATACATCAACATTTACGTCCTGTGTAATATATGCATAAAACAATTCAATTCTGTACATGGAAAATGTCAAAACATAAATGAACTATTCTGACCGTTACTAATTGTTTTGACCTACTATTGCTACTATTTTATCTTTCATATCAAAACATACTGTAAGTGCAAAAAATAAGAAAGCACCACAACAGTAACACAATTTTGGTAAAAAACAAGACATAGAGATGGAAAACAAGAAAACGCAATAGAAATTAACATGGTCCTGAGCATACATAACTCCTACTAAGGACAAGGAGCTCTTGTATACAGAGAATTCAGTTTCACCTACTTTGCAGGTCAAGGTAAATATAAACGGCATTCCAGAAAGAATCCCTGCTAAACCGCTTCACTGAAAAGACACTTACAACAGCTATCGGGTCGTTGCTTCTCGTCGCTGCCAGGCTGAACTTCTTCACACATGTGTTCTTCTCCATGGCCTTTGCGAAATCCTTCAGCGTTGGGATGGGAATATTCTGAAAGCATGTGGACACAACGTTTCAGTCCCGGTTTTCACATTCGGAAACGGCAGATTTTATGCTTCCCTTAACAACACGAAACTCCCCAAAACTAAATGGAAGCCATCAACGTTGACATTCAGTTTTCCTTCAGGATTTAAACACAATCAGGCATTTGGAGAGTGCGAGAGGCATACCTTGATGTTGTTCAGATTGACCTCTGTCAGAGTTGGATCATTGGATTTTATCCTCTGCAAGGTCTCTTCAACGTTGGTAGGATTAGGTGGCTCGTCAAAGACAGGTTTGACTTTTTCCCCTTTAATGACGTCTATAAAACAGTTTACAAAGGCTCAGCTGCATGTTCACAAGGCTTTACTGCAATAAATCTTAAACACTGTTCCTACCTTTTTAGAAACCAGAACAGTAAAGCCCTGTAGCCAAAAATTAAATTCCATTACTGTAGTGAAATGGAACCCATTTCTCACAAGTATGATGTTAAAACTTTTACTTACTGTTGTAGCCTTCTGTACTGCTACTTCCATCATAGCTTTGAGTGCTCGTCACCAGTGTATGCACTCCAAGAATAGCTTAAAAACAATCAATCAAAATAAAACGGCTGTGTGATTAACAATTTCTAAACTTATTCTCAAAATCTTAAACCACCCCCGTCTGTCTGGTGACCTGAACACTGACCCCAGTTTTCAGATGTGCAAGCTGGCAGACATCTCTATGGTAACCACAGCAACCGAGAATTGCAGTGATTGCCTGCAGATTTCTTTTCACTAGAGGTAACAAGACTGGTCATACATATTTTAAAGCATTAATTAACAATTTCAATATTTCATGCTTTAAGTTTGATATACTGTATTTTCTATAAAAAAACATTGAGATATAAAAACACAATAAAGATAAAATTGCTTTAAAAGTGTTTTCCTTGGTTTTCTTTTCCTAATAAAGCACGAATGCTTCAACATTTCTGTAAACCTTCTAGGTTAAGTTTCTTGCGATGAACCTTGAAATGTTGTAAGCTTTGAATTATGGGAGACGATAAATAATTTATTTCTAAAGTGAGCTATTAGGAGAGAGGAAACACTTACATGGAGTGAAGCAGGATCCACACTATAGCTACTGGCTTGGACTGAATGGCCTTTGTGTTTTTTGGTAAAGTGGGAATAAATTGCAGCAAAGACACAGCTACATTGTAGTGTGCCAGGACAACAGACTCTATAAATAATAGTGCAAAGTGCCTGGTTGCATTTTAAAATGTTCAATGGAGTAAGACTAAATGTTGAGGCTTTTGGTGACTTTAATGCAGGATCATTCTATAAAGTTGTGTTTCTGGAGTGGTAACATCTATTTAGGTTTTTGATTCCCATACAGACCACAACGCACCAGCAGTGTTGCCCTCCTGCCCTCTTACCTGCTAGGTCACACAGTTCGGTATCAGTGGCACTAGATAGGGCTTCTTCAAGTTCCGGGTCAAGGGTCGTTACCTCCTCTTTGCGTGTTTCAATTGGCTTTTGTTTAGGTACCCATGCTTTACCTGATGTAGGCAGACAATACATCTTATTATAATATGCAACAATACATAAAAAAATATTAATATTTAAAGAGACACTTTCCCTTTTTGCCTCAAAAAAACATTCTGAACTGGTGACAGGTTTAGTAGGTTACTGTAATTAAATCAATTTTAAATCCAAACAATGTATTTACATAAAACAGGATTACAGGAGAAAAGCAATCTAAAGAGGAAGCTACACTGTATGCATAGACTATACCACAGCAACTGTAGCTGCAGGAACTCGATCTTAGGCAAAATGCATATAGCGTGAGTCTCAAATTCAGTTCCTGGAGGGCCTAATATCTTCCAATTTTTGTTCCAACCTGATTAGTCAGTTAAACAATTACTTAATTTTCCTAATTGGACACATGATATACATTCTTCTTAAGGTCTCTTAAAGATGACTATTATAATTACTGTTAGATTATTTTATAATTATAGGTAACTAATTAGACCCAATGTGTAAGTGTTTAATGATGGAACAAGTCGAGACCAGGCCTTCTAGGAATTCAATATCTGTCCTCCGATGTAATGGATGAATATTTCCTACATTTTCCTTTTGTCCTGCTTGTGCACAAGAACAGAGAGAAATTCCACAGATGGAAAGAGAGAAAAGCATAAAATACATTAGTATCAAAAACAAAGCTTTCAAAAACACATTCAGTATAGAAACTATTTCTGGCCTACCAGCATCAGTGTAAACCATGTAAAAGCAGCCCTCATCAGCACACACTCTCTGCACTGTTAAATATCTCAAGTCACAGAGTTGTTTTTAACGAGTGAATGCTTTCAGGGTATGTAAATCAAACCAGCTGTAAAATTCTGTCATGGTCATTAACTTGAAAAGGTTAGCACAGCTAATGCTGATTTTTTCTTCTGTGGAACAAACTGTAGTAATTGGCAACTCCATAACCAGATTATGAAGCTTGTCACCTCAGTATTGTGATTTTGTTAATTCAAGCAAACCATTCTAGGCACACCAAGAGGAGGGGTATCACTATTTACAGTACAGAAAAGAGACCGAACTACGCACTAACTAGTGAAGACAAACATGAACATTTGTAAGTGATCAACTGCCACCACCAAACACTACCTGAAATATTTCAACACTAAATGGAAGCTAGATAATAAAATAATAATAATAATAATAATAATAATAATAATAATAATATAGCTTACACTTATACAGTTCTTTTCTGGACACTCCACTTTAAAGCGCTTTACAGGTAATGGGGACTCCCCTCCACCACAACCAATGTGCAGCCCCACCTGGATGATGCGACAGCAGCCATAGTGCGCCAGAACGCTCACCACACACCAGCTATCAGTGGGGAGGAGAGCAGAGTAATGAAGCCAATTGATAGATGGGGATTATTAGGAGAGGACCAATGGGACATTTCGCCAGGACACCAGGGTTACACCCCTACTCTTTTCGAGAAAGGCCCTGGGATTTGTAATTACCACAGAGAGTCAGGACCTCAGTTTTACGTCTCATCCGAAGGACGGCGCCTGTTTACGATATAGTGTCCCAGTCACTATACTGGGGCATTAGGACCCACATGGACCGCAGGGTGAGCGCTCCCTGCTGGCCCCACTAACACCTCTTCCAGCAGCAACCTTAGTTTTCCCAGGAGGTCTCCCATGCAGGTACTGACCAGGCTCACACCTGCTGAGTTTCAAAGGGTTGCCAGTTGGGAGTTGCAGGGTGATATGGCTGCTAGCTAGATGTCTTTTTGGGGGGGAACCTGTACACTTTCTAGCTAATCATTTAATGCAAATCTCATTCGCAGCGATTAGAAAAAGTTCAAGAACTGGACGACTGGTGATCAATACAAAGAACACAAATACAAAAAAAGAATCCAGAAACTTCTGGTAATGCGTTGAATGCAGGATTTTAACTAACATTTAAACTTCACAGATAATTACATACAGCAACAGTTAAAGAGCTACACTTCTTCCATTATCCATTTTTTCCAGGCAATTAATTCACAAAGCCAAGGGACTAAACAGTAATGCTCGACTTAGCAACCAACACAATACATGCACAGAAGGCTGCAATATATAGAGAGATTCACGCCTGTATTTTGGAAACAAAAGTGCATTTTTCTAAGAAAGGAAAAATATATGTAGTGTACTGAAAAACAGACCTCAACGTACTAATGTCTACAAGACTCTAAAACTGAACCAGTGCATGCAGGGAGCAGGGTACATTATAGCAACATACATAAACCTTGGAATCTCTCGGGATCTAAATGTACTTGAGAAGCAGTGCAAATGTCATTCAACCTGTTCATTCAGCACTTATAAAACTGCTCTGTATACAGGCCAGAATTTTCACACGATGACAGACTGTGGGCTTTCTCAGTGTTTCAGCTTGTAAAGGCACTTGCTCAGAGTGCAGGCCAAGTTCTCTGGTTCAAATGTTCTGGATTCAAGTAATGTCACCAGATGACTGTGACCCAGAATTCTCCAGGCTGCAGCATACAATTGCCTGAGTGCCACCAAATAATGGTCCAAATCTCTCAGGTACACTTTCTCTTCAAGTCCCAGAACACCTGCAGGCACAATGCATCTCAGCACAGCCTGAGACATGGTAAAAGAAATTCCGGTGGGTCCGTACAGTCTGACTACACTCATTCTTCTATTGTGCTTCAGGGGTTTTATAGCTTTGACCCAAGACATGAACACACTCAACTGGTGACTGCAGGTCAGATGGGCATATAGCAAAATAACTGTGGGAAAATTGGCATTTTTTATCATTTTTTCACAATTCTTTTCAAAGGTTAGCCTCCTAAAAATTGATAAACCATAGTGCATTGGCAAATAAGCCCCAAAAAACTATTCTTAGAAATGTAAAACTGGATGTAACTAAATTGAAAGCACGTGCAAAACAAAAGTTAAGAGTTGCTATTCTCCATGCTCATCCATTATTTCACATTCTCAGCAGTGCTTTGTCGACTAACTTCTCTGGCATGCAGTAACGCCATCCCACTCCTCTCCTGCCAACTCTCTCCCCTCCAGGCTGAGGAGCTCCATTCCCAACGTACACAATGTAGCACTGAGGAACATATTACCTCACTTTCCCAAAACAAATGTCCCGCTAACCAGGATATGCAAACTTATCACACAACATCAAGTTTCCTCTGTGTACACATTTTGTGAAAATCACTGCCTCGTATCAAAACAAGTATGTGCTTTCCCAGGAGCGTGCTTCCACAGAGAAGGAAACTTCCTCTATTATTTCTCAAAAACAGTACAGCCTGACAAAAACCCCAATCACTCATGACGGGTGCTAAAAACCGTTGTCATATTAATAAAAGAAATCTTTTTTAGCTCTACCTTCAACAAATGGGTTCGTATTACCTCAGGATACTATAACAATATAATATTTCTAAAAAAAACGTATTAATTAGTAATTACAAGCCATTCAACATAGGCAGGCTATATAAAGCTATATAAAAAAGAAAATTGCTCTTTTTTTACCTAGTATTTATTAAATTTAAATACTAATTTAATTTATTTTTTCTGACAAAACACAATCTAGGCCTTTAACTGATTAAGGTCTTTAATTAAGAAAATTTCATCCCACCTGCCAACTTAAAATGACAAAATCTTGTTTGGTCTGTTTTTGGCATTTGATAGTCTGGACCTATGGGTATTAAACCAAACGGGATGTAGAGTCTACAGAGAGCACAGAGTGAACTTCAATACAATTTAGCTTTGTGCTCTTAAAGCTCTTAGCCTGTACATGGTGCACCACATTTCAGGACCACTCCCAGATCTCATGCTGTTGACAACAGAGGGTGTTGCCACATTCTGCAGCTGATTACAGACCATCAGATAACATAATAACATAAATGCCCTTTGCCAGATTTAGTAAGGTGTTTTTTACCCTTGGACTCTTACCAATCAACTCTAAATCACAGATCTGTCCTTAAAAATGTTTAATATAATTTCTATTGTTTTATTAAAAAAATATTTGTGTACAGCAGATAAAGTGCAAAAAACTAATTGTGGCATAATATGGCAGTTTAGTTTGTCACCCTGGGATCCTACTGTGATTGAAAATAAATGCTTGGAGTGTAAATATAAAAAGGTTAGTGGGTTTCCCCAGTAACCATACAAGAGTTACTATACTAGGGAGAGCATCCTGCCAGCCAAACCACCATGAGGCCTGAATGACATGCCTCAGTGACCAACTGCTGTTCTACAATGCTTTAAAGCACTGAAGATATTCAAGATCAGCGTCAACTCGTACAACCGGAGATAGACAGTTTCCTTACAGAAACTCCACCTCCTGCAAACCCCTTACAGTCTCACCCCTGAATAGCTCAAATAAAAGATTAAACAGTATTGTGCTGTCCAGCCAGGACTTTTCCAAGTGACCAGTCATTAAACGTGTTAAAAGTTTATTAAAAAGGGGCCAGATGAGAGATTAAAAGGACTTTAAAGATGTATCCTTCACCCCCACCCAATTATCTATAGCCATACTCTGTTTCGAATGCTTATGATCAAAGTGTGAAAATGAAAGAAAGGTGAATTAAAACCCTTACTGCTTAGCAAAAGAGGGGGGGGGGGGGTTCTCAATTCAATTCCAAGAGAACAGGACCTCAGAAAGACAGAAAGAGTAAATGGCCGTAGCAGCGCTTCCAAAGCAATCCAGTAACTGTCTGTTCTATATAAGCTTGAAGGGAGCTTTGTAGAAGCAAAGAATATTGCTAAGAAAAAATATCATGATTGTGCAGCTGAGCCAGTAACTCCATATCACAGCGACAGCAAAATTTGGCAACCATATTAAAAGACACTCTCCCACCGCCTCCTCCCCCAAAGTAGTCCCCTACACTTTAATGAGGCAGAGTCACTAAGGGACCTTGCACTTCCCGACAGCCTCCCAACCAGCAATCAGAAGGTAATTAGTAGTTTTCCTGTTTTTTGTAAAGTATTGTACATGCATTGCAAGAACCCAACAAAGCAATTGGATTCACAGCACAATGTTTCATGTACTGAATGCACACATATTTTGCCATGTAGCACAAGCAGTGGTAAAAAGTTTGACAGAGACTTTCATGATGTATCATAAAAGGACACAACAAAACTCTATATTGTACGAGTCTTGAGCAGGCATGAAGTTAATGATCAGAGTCAGGAAAGTGTCTAGACAGCAGTAATACATTTCCAGTCTTGGGAAATCAAAGAAATGATCACTTATAAAGCCAACTCTTCTCAGCTAAAGATCTGAAGATTAGTAAAACAATAGGGTACAGATTATCAGGCACTGCAGTTATCCCACTTCTGAGGTAAAAAACGCAGGAGATGTACCCAACCAGCATTCAACAGAAAAGCTTTTCATACACTTTGATCAGAACTGAAAAAAAATAGAGAGTACTATACTATATATCTTTGAACTCCATGCAATACCAACTAAAGGCAAATGAACCACAGTGTCACTTAAAACACCAATTTAATACGTAAATCTGCCATATTGATGTTGCTCCTTTGGTCAACAACACATAAGATAGTAAGGCAGCCTAATATTTCCCTTTCAAATGCCAGACCTGTTCCAGTAAAGTCCACTTCATTCTGCAGCAAAATAAGTTCAACACTGTTTGATAGACATAAGATGCAGATTAAGGTCAGGTCGTATTGAAGAGTGTCCTCTTAAGCAAATCTATGTAATGCAGCCACACAAGATCCTGCATTACTCCGCGTTCAAATGAACGCAAACATCAAAAACCACCATTGTTGACAAGTAAGTGATAATCTCAAAAACCCTTGTGTTTATCTAAAGAAGCTTAGCGTCCATTTAAAAACATGCCTCTTAAAGATTTTTTTATACATGTTCCACTGATCCTGCTTGTGGAAGACACTGCAGTTTAATACACTATACTCAGTAGCAAAAGCATGCCGTGGCACCTTTTAGCTCTGCGTCATTCACTGCTGACAAGCATAATTATAATAGTGAACTGCCCAGTCAAATATGGAACCTTGCATTCCTAATAATTCATGACTGTGGTCTAAAAGCAAGATGTACTACAAAGCATGGCCTTTCTGTAAGATGAAGAGCACAGAAAACAGGAAAAACATTTTTACAAATACAGGCACAAACTATCAACTATAGTGTACCCGAGTTTGTACTGTACCTGCGTGAAAGAGAAAAACAACAAGACTTTACGATAACAATTCATTAAATATCTGACATCTGTATGGCTTTAGTCAGTAAATGAAATGCATTTCCTTTTTTCAACAACAGTAGAGATACTGTACATATAAAAATACATATCAAAACAAGACATGAGAAAAGGCCATACTATGCAACAATGTATGACTTATTACAAGCATCAATTAAAAACAAAAACTAATGATTTAGTCATATAAACACATTTTTGAAGGCTAAGGACACTGCTCATCGTAGGAATTAAAGTCTTCAAGCAGAAACATTTAATTGAGGAAGAAGATATATATCCATCTCTTAATGTGCACGTTAAGACCACGAATCCATCAAAGTTTTAAGTTCTGTTTTTGTCTTTCTAGGACCATTTAATACATCTTCTATTTGCATCACAGAGAATGAATACTAATAGTTTTGGAATTTGGCTAAACTCCAGGCTTAAAAAAAAAAAAAAAAGTGTTCCTTAACTTACAGATTTCAAATCACCTTTTAAAATGACCAAGAGCCTTGCCTTTGGAAACTTGACGAAACTCTCATAAAAGACGAATTACTACTAATTAGTACTAAGGTTACAGCATACATCTTTGAGGGAACTGTTTTTGTTACTTTCAGCACTGAATAATAGTTTATTTTTAACTTTGCTAACTCAATTGGTGAGCTACATTCCACCCTTAAATACAATTCCCTCTACATTCCAAGACAAAAACAGGATTGCCTTTCTAACAGCAATTCATTTTCAATGCAGGATTTAAGTCAAGTCTATTTCCACTCATCCTATTTCAGCAATGCTTTTCTATTCAGTATATCATTCCAGAAAGCTCATGTAAGTGCTTTAATTTTCCACATGCTTATTTTAACAGATCTATCACAACACTGAAATGTTTTATCATTATGCACTCATATTTCTGCACAATGTATCAATTCTACAAAATCCTAAACAAAATTATTCCCGTACCATGAAATGAGCTACACACATAACCTGCCTGTCAGAAAACATGACAGAAGAGGATTAATCGATCACAAGATAACATGAAAATATAAAAAAAACAATATTGTAAACATTAAGACAGCAGAGAAAAATTGAAGCTTCCACTTGTCATGTTAAGAAAATGTGCATTATACGGTTTTTGCTGGGGAGTTACTGACAGAAAAACACCATTGTACTATACCACCTGAATCTGCTCACACCATTTTAGTGCATGATGATGCAATGCGCATCGTCAACATGCAGTATGAAGTCTCAGACCTTATAATGAACTCTAACCTGACCCCCCCACAAGACACATTCCTCTTTCTACTCACCAGAGGCAAAACTGCTCTACAAAAGCCCTGCTGATGTTGTAATCAGGAAACCCAACCCCTGATCAGAGCCACGTCTCTATCTGTGCCAACAGGCAAAAGACACTTCAACTGTGACACCGCACAGCAGACATGGGATTCACGTACCCTTTGATTAGAAGACAAAAGAACAGGAGGGCTGAGAACTGTAATTTGCATAATGCAAGATACCTTTAGCAATAAGAGCTGTTGTTGCACTGCTGGGTTTGAAACTACTGGGAACCTAAACATGAGTAGAAATTACAGGGATAAAAGAAGAATAGAAGGTACTTCTTTACAGAAAAGGAATTTGTAAGTCTAGAGCAAGCTTCTCGGCCGTGTTTGTTGAAGACAATACACTGGATTCTTTCAAGAAACATCTCGGTGAGATCTTCAGACTGAATGGCCTCTTGTCTGTAACCTTGCTTATGTTACAATGCTGTACCTGCACTTTTTATTTTCTTTAATTGCACATGAAAACCTAAGACAATTGATCAATTAAAAATAGCCAAGCAGACACTCATGTGAAAAGGTAGATTTTCTAAGATGCTACATGTGTAATGCGAAGGCTTTAAATTCCATTATTAGCCTCTGTAATCCAGGTTTAACCTGTCTGTGAAAGTTGACAGGGAATACACTAGTGCCCCCAGAACTTCAGCTCATGCACTGTTTTATAGTACCCCTTTCTTACAAATATGTAAGAAAAGGAAAACTACATGTATTATCAAATTTTACTAAACAGATTAATTAGATCATAAATTGTACTTAGTAAAATGTCGTTATTTGATTAATGATTTCATTTTAAAATCCATGAACCACTCGCATCCCAGATTTAAGAAAGACGTAAAACTGTTATACTGCACAATCTGCTTCAGCGGGCCTTTATTTATTTTTTATACCAATGGAGAGAAGTGCCCAAGAAAATTTTAGCAGGATTTAAAATGGTGCTATTTCTAAATCGGAAAAGCGTGCTGTGCTTTCCGACAACGAAAAAGACGTCTTTTGGCAATTTTATCTAATGTTAACCCAACAAGTTTTAAAAATCTTGCATTCATCTTCCAAATCCTTTCATGTATATTCTACAGACATTTCATACGCTTTTTTTAAACAACTACTCAGTTTACTTCCAATATTATCTACTATTGATTATTAGCAATATTAAAAGCACAGCAGTCTGACAATATCTGAGTGAAAGACACTTGTCCCTACAGAACCTCACTGCCCACCATACCTTTCCTTTCTCCTGTGAAAGGCACTACATCCTCTCTATCCTTATACTCCAGTGCTTCCTTCTCTAGGTAGGCAAGGAGGCGTTCTCGGTTGAAGGGCCCTGTGTCTTGTTTAGTGGTCTGATCCTTCTGTCGCAATCCTGCTGGCAACAGCGCATTCTAGAAAGAAAAAAAAAGGAAAAATATTCCAACTTCAATCTGCACACAGGAAATCAATCAAACACATTGCTGAGGTGGCAATTCTTAGAATCAGCAAAACCCATACCGCCAATTTACTGAACAACAGAAACCAGGCTTATAACTACAGGAGTGAGAAACAGCGGACTGAAATATATGTCAGAGGCAGCTTTCCAACAATCCCTCAAAAACAGCTCTGAACTTCCACCTCCGTAACATTTTAATGATTCCCCCCCCCCGATACTACACAGCCCAGTCTTAACCCTTCACAGCTACTGACCCTTAAGTACTCAGTTGTGCAATGCAAGCAGCAGCAGTCCTGGCTGTCTGTCTGACTGTGCTGTGTAGTGGGATAATATGCACTGACACAGGCAGTCACTGTGCTGCTAAAACCATGCGAGGGCCCCGGTTCTCCCAGCACAGCCCTGTGAAGCATGCAGTCTGCCATGGCCTCACCTCAGGGTCCAGCTCCTCGAGGGCGCTTTCCAGTTGCTTGAGCTCTTCCTCGGAGAGCTTGTTGAGGATTTCGTCCTCGTCGATCTCCTTGTACTTTTCCAAGTCCTTCTTAAATGGCAACGCCATGGCCACTGCGTCTGTCGACTAAACAAGGTTCTGTGGCGTCTTCAGGGTCGGTGTGTCCAGCCAGGCCGATGTACACTGTTCAAGCATGCACGAACAAAAAAAGAAAATCAGAAAGGTTATGTAAGTGGAAACAAAGAGTTACATTAAGTTCTTCAGTTTCCATTCTTTTGGCTCCTTCTTCTCCATCTCTTTCTTTCCCTCCTCACATTGCCAATGAAACAGACTATGAACTGGAAAATGCCCCCACTGAGTTCTGAGCTAACCTTTAGCCTCCATATAGCTCTGTAAAAGCCAAAGGCCCAGTTTTTGTCCTTTTTCTTCCTCTGGACCACCCACTCCTGTCCAATGGGCTTCATTTGAACCTTTCTGAATGAAGCCAGACGAGAACAACAACCTCCCAAAATGTATGCATAAAGCATGATTAACATGTCCTCTCCCCCTCCGATTCAAACTGCATGCTCATGAGCTGCCTGAATAAAGAACGCTTTGTTAATCTTCATATTATGTGGCCTATTACTGCCCATTTTGAATGTGGTGTACATGGGGGGCATCTGTGCTACTGTGCACCAAATCTCATTTCTGACTTTCAGCAGCAGCCTTGAGACACATCATTACAAAGGGCTGACACCTCAGAAACAAAAGGAGGCACAAAAACTCAAATTCCTTCAATGTGCATTCTGATCATTAACACCATAAAAGGAAACCCAAATGATTGTACAGTATATGTGAAAACGATAAAAACAAATTGTTTACATAAGTTGTTTGTTATAATGTGGATGAACTTCATCAATGTCCTCTCCCACTAACCACAGTTTACACAATTACCTCGTTATTCCAGAGTTCCAGTGTGCAACAGATGTTAACTATTCTCCGAACAAAGCAGACTTTCTCATTTAACCCTTGAAATGGTACAGCACTGGCCCGCAACAGGACTCAATGTAGCTTTCTGGGTTCACTAATTCTGAAATTATTTTAGTTCTTCAAATTAATCTTTTCTGATTACTGTATAGCACTACACATTTTTAACATAAGGTTAAAGAAAGGATTAAAGACATCAAAGCGTGGGGAAAACATAACTATTCAGTGAATAAAAGGCATGACCACTGGAAAGCTAAATGCTATTATTGTGGAACATTAGTATACACAACAAAACACCAGGTATAATGAATGCATATGACTCAATGGAGGGTTATTGGGTAAATTGAAATACTGTACAGTAGTTGGCATGCTAATACAGTGAAACAGCTTTATGTGCTGTACTGAAAGAGATGTCATAGTTCTGAGTACCTTTTTGAAAAGGACATTTAGTTACTTGCTTTGCAAGCATAGCCTTAGAAATTCACATTACTGAATGGCAAATAATTTCAGTACACATATATCCATTTTAAACCGATGCTGATAGAATCCTGATAAAAAGGGGGAATTCCTTATGATGCTAGATGGAATACAAATCAGGGCTCTAAGCAGGAGCATTCCTGACATTCAAGTCCTGTCATTCGATTTTCCCTGTGCTGATCAAAACCAGTGGCTTGCTGCAGATATAACACAGAACCTGAATGCAGACCACCTATAGCCTATAGATCAAAACGTCTGAAATGCTGCGTAGTCTGGAGAAATTGAAACAAGTGGATCTGTAAAACCATCACGTAAAGAAACTGTATTTTAGCATAGCATTAAAAAAGGTAGAGCTCAAGCAAAAAACACACCATAACTTGCACCTTTGAAAAATGACAGACCCATTTTACCAATATTTTTGATTTACTTGCATCACAGAATCGAACCAGGTTTTCCACTGCAGAAACGCCTGCTCTCTTCCGCAGGACACAGGGCTGAGGAAGGCTTGCGCATACCAGCTCTCCCGTCCTGAGAGCTAGAGAGCAGATCTCCCCATCCTCCTCTTACACTTCCCCACTAAATCACAACCATCTGGTCTGAATATTTGTGTGGGATCTCGGTGTGAGATTGCTAATGAAAAACAAAACACCACTCAAGAATTTGAACGCTGAACTGAAACAGCTGTCCTAAAAAACAAAACAAATTTGCAGATAAATGTAAATGGGGTGTCTTAAAAATGTATTATTTTGTTTAGTTACAACCTATACCTGTAAGAATCTATGGAAAAGTACCAAATGCTATGTAATATTGTCCTTTCCCCCATAGCTTAGGGCTTCTTACATGTAAAACTGTAATCAGTCCTGTTGTGCAGCTTTCTGGAGAGCCATAAAATATGTAAAAAGTAATATGATAAAAGCTTCTGAGTAGCTTGTGACTGTACATTCAGGCCAGACATTGAAAGGGGAAAAGAAAATGTTCCACTCTCTGACATATAATAATAATATTATTATTATTATTATTATTATTATTATTATTATTATTATTATTATTATTATTATTATTAATAATAATAATCTCTTGCTTTAATACTACTACCATTATAGAAGCCAGCAGTTCAAGCCTTATTTTAAAATATATAAAAATGATTAAATGAAGTAAAATGATGCCATCCAAGACTTATCCAGAGTTGATCATGCTAAATTTCCAAGATTGGGCATATTCTGAGTTTGAGTAATCTTTCAAATGGTGCTCTTACTCCAATACAGATAACATTATGTTCCTTACAATAGTTAAACCCTTTTTCAGGGGAGCTTTTATTTTCCATTAGGTTTACATTCTCTAGCTACCTTGGCCTTAAGACTGCTCATATTTTGAAACCTCTAACAATTAGCTCAGACCATTAAACTTCTCAGTAATTTGATCATGTTGACACTGGGCCAGCACAGGACCACTCTCCCCTGTAGCTGCTGCCAGAAATGGATTAGGCTAATCTATTTAAATATACATAATACTCTTACAAATATCAGGATTTACCTTGTCAAAAATGCTATTTTAAATTTGTAACCATCTTCAATGATAATAACAGCTAAGGCAACATTGGTATGATATTTAAGGTTTTTCTGTAATTGTTTTAAAATATTTTTGATCAGTTTGAAGGCAAGCCGCATAATACACTGCCATTGTGTTAGGCCATGGCAAAAATCAAATCACTGGTGCATGAATATCTGGAATTCTGCACATCCAAGCTTGTCAACACTGTGCATCTCAAACACCCTTTAAACTTTCCTCACAACAATGCTAAAACTTTTTACAAACTTGAATCCCTTTGTCCTGTGTAAAAAGTTAAACTGCAAAACTCCCAACACACACGATTCCGTAACCCCTAACAGGCTAAGATCACTAAGCAGGCACTACTTTACCAGCACCGAACCTATGACAAGGTTTTTACTTTTTTGGGACCAAGTAAGTTAAATTTTTTAAAATAAACTCTACTGCTGGTACAGTGCTGCTACAGTATGTGATCATGTGACCCCTCAAGAAGCACTGTTGAGCAGAACTCTTGTCAACTGTCCAGCTACACCCATGTGTGGATCTCTGTCCTTTAGGGGCCGGACAAGCTAGAAACACTACAGCCAGCCTATAGGAAACCTACAGGTCACACATTAGATTGCCGTAATACACAGATGGGATTTAACTCTCTGAGTTCACTTCATAAGCAAGATAGGGACATGCACATTATAACTTCAGAGGGGATGTGAAAGGTCACTTTTTTTAACCTCTTCTCTGTACCGAGGCACTCTTTATTTTTAAAAAAGAATTACAAAGCGTCAAACAAGGATAAAAAACTACTGAAATGGGGAGGCTTTTCTTTAATGATGCGGTAATATATCGCAATCAAAGCTCCAACAGGGGATTTGAAGCCTAACCGGAATAAATAAAACTGAGGTAGGGAAAACAGTGTTCCTCAACGGGGGACAGTGATACTTAAATGGACCAAAAGATCAAGGTGAGATGCTACGAATCATAAAACATTATTTGGGATTTTTTTACAAAGGGTTTACAAAACCAAAAATAATGAAAACAAATAAGGGTTGATCCCATATCCTTGGCTATGTCTGTCTTCAATATTTCCACCTCTCCAAGGTCCTCACTTTGCCTTTCAGAACAGAGGTCCTTTACATATTATCTTTACATACAGATTGTTACATTTTGGCAGTTGTATTCTTTCTTTTAGTCTTTCTTCTGTTAGTGACTTGATTTTCATCAGCACTTAGCGGAAAAACACTTAAAGCCTTGAAAGGAAAGAAAATAGATTTTGAATGTATCACTGAACAATGCAGCAGATTCATCAAAGTACTGCCGAACTTCCTAGAATACCAAGAAAATACTCTACGTTCAACCACAAAGCTGAGAACTGTGATTCCCAAGCTTGTGAAGAAAAGGAATACAGCATCACAAAGACTGGTGGAGCTCAGCATCTGTGGTGTTTAGAAATCACTTATCTTTGTTAGTTGTGCTGAGAGTCTCTGTAAACTGTGCAGAAGAGTGTTAAGTGTCGTGAAAAGGAAAATAAAAAATTCTATTCTAGGCTTGCCTAATTTTGTTCACATTTGTATTATTTAAAGCCATTGGGATCTGCCAGCTTTAGTTTATCCGAGTTCTACTATTAATCATTTCACATGCAAGGAAATGGATTCAGCTGTTTCATACTGATTAGTCTAGGGCTTGTCCCACACAAGGTCATCGGGTCTGCTGTCTCTGACCCCATCTGTGCTGAGAGCCCTCTCAAGCAAAGGATCGCAACAGTACCCCTATGACTAGATTACATCTATGGCAGTACAAAAACAAAGGAAAGTCCGTGTGTTTAAAAGCAGCGAAATCAATTTCACAAGGAAAAATGTTAATCTCTGCCATCCTCTTTACCGAGTTCAGGCAAGAATCTAACCAGGTACAATCAAGGAAAGACTTTACCTCACATCGACTAAGCTAGGCGATATGAGACTCAGCTTCTAACATTGCTATGTGAGACAGAGACTAAGAGCCTATTATCACTTGTATAATGGGGATGGAATTTAAGGGGTGTTTATTTATTTTAAAGCAAAACAGGGGACATGCAAAATGTTAAAGGTTCTCAAGAAGCAGTCTTAACCATGAGCACACTTCCAGAACTGTACAAAAGATTCTTTAGAGAAAATACCTTGAAGACTCATGTTGTGTTATATATTGTGTATGTGTTGTGTCTCTACTTTCCTGCAAAGCAATTTTCCCATCTGAGACAATAACGGAAGTAAGACCATCTCAGACAACCAGCTGCTTCACACTTTGTTGTCCTGTAGTATCGCGTTACAATTTGAAAATCCAAACTGATTTAGAAGTTTGTTAAAAATATGAACTTAAATTACTCCATACTTAAGAATAATGATTCTTAATGAGGGACACTAGTGGTAGCGTTTGCCATTCTGTCTCGCAGTGCTGGGCCCTTGGATTCAATTCCCGGGCTGCTATCTGCGTGAAGTTTGTATTTTCCGTTGACGGTTGGGTTTTCGGGTCCGGTGTCCGCCCCACGGTCCAAAGCCATACTGACAGAGTTACTGCCTTCTGGGAAAATTATGCCTTCATGGTGTGATGTGGGCCCTGCGGTGCTGTCTAGGGTGTATCCCTCCTTGCGCCCGTCGCTTGCCGGGATTGGCCCCGTCTTCCCTCAACCCAGTATCGGACTAGCTAATAACACGTTTTAAAAAAAAAAACATTCAGAACGGTATTTTAACAGTTGCAGCAGAGCAGTTTTAATTATATTTTAGTCTGTAGTCTTTTAAAGTCTTAAATCTTTAATCTTTGTGCGTTCACGATTAACTAGGACTTTTACACCTGTCATATTCACAACTGCATACCTAAGATAGCTATCATGGCATAGCACAACATATTATAGTTCTGGTTTAGCCAGTTAGATACGACCGGTACATACGCGTTGCAACCTTAACCCATTTTATAAAAAACCGCACAGTCGAGAAATGTCGGTGCGCCGCGCCTGTCCAGCTCGTTATCAGCTGCAGGGCAAACAAGGTGTATGTGAAAGCATACTGGCACCAAGGCAGCAATTCTAACAGGCATGCGTGGTTTCGTTCGCCATGATCATACGCTGTGCATGACTAACGAAACTATGATTTATATGCATACATGCAAACGTAGTTATCACCCTTACGACAATATCATTAAGGGGACGGCTACAAAAAAAAAAAACTCTGATCGCAGCCTTTCATTGGTCGTCTACAGAGCATTGATTGCATAAAGCTCTGTGTGGATTTCAGAGACTGCAATCTGATCACTGCCTCAACCACCCTTTCACTTCTCATCTTTAAATAATGAGAGGAGACCGCCGTCGAGGCTGGGCTCCTGCTGCGGCGGGGGAAGTCCATGTTGCGTTGTGGTGAAGCAGTAGCGTTACAACCTATAAGCGGCACATCTGGCGACTCCACGTAAATGTAAATGACAAGAGCTCTCGTAAAAATAAATCGTCCCACACAAAGCGCCGCAAACTAAATGCCTAACATTAAAAGCGATGCATCCAATGCAAAACCGCTTCAAGCTGGGTTGTTCTCACTTAGGCTCCTCGGATATATTTTACACAAGAAGCACACAGCGAATCAAAATGTTTTCCTGTATTGCAACTGTAGCAATAACGCTCAACAGGGGATAAGGAGAGAATCGCATTTCCGGGAAAACTTACAGCACCCCTAATTATCAGCGTGGGATATGTTATTCAACGAGAACTATTGCATTTAATGGTGAGGACGATAAGCAAACCTGTGCCCTGCAAAGTGAGCCCATTTTACAAGAGCATTATCTCTAGCAGTGGGAGCCCCCACATAATCCCCATAACATAAACATGGTTCAGCTTAATCTCGTTTACTCTTTTAATTATCCATTACTTGGGCGTAAACTCAAGTAATACACCGAACAATAGGAAACAATTCTTTCTAGCAATTCATTGCAATCTTTCCCACAGTCGGATTAAAAATGTGAAATCAGCGTCGCCCCTACACACTCAGCGGAGATGTGAGAGAAAAATGACTCAGTCCAGTACTCTCCTCCTCCTTCCCTACTGCCTCCCGCTACTTCACTTTAATCGTCTCTCTCACTGAAAACAGACCATTAAACCACTAACGGTGCCAGCCCTTTCTGTGCAATAATAATTATGTGTCGGTGTTCGAAAAGCTTATTATCCGTTCACAGCGCACAGTATCAATTAGATTACCACATTCACAGACAGCCAACACAGCAGTGTGCGTCTGATTTGGGCAGCTCTACAACCTACAGCAACTCCAAAGCCATCGCATTTGCTACTTACCCTAAGCACTGTTTCCGAGCAACCGCAGGCACATTAATAAAAGGTCTCTTCGAATGTTATTTCTCTTCCGTTGGTGCTAACAGCCGCTTTATAACTATTATTTCCTTACTCACACCAGGGTCAGTCCTTCCACTGTTTCAACCACCAAGGGCGGTAACACAGGAAGATAGAAACTGGACGCAAGCGACGTTTCGTGGGGCGGTGATTGCTGGCAGCTGAGACAGCCAATAGAAGAGTCGCTGCCCGCCTCGACTCTTGTATGCGCCAATCACGTCGCGGAACGAGCGATTCTCGCCCTAAGAGTGATTCAGCGAGCGGTTGCAATTTGCACAGGCTCATGGGATTTGTAGTGCTGAACGAAAATGAGCTTTTTTCTCCTGTTAGAAGTCACACCGCCTGCTGGCATTTCTGTGACAA